ATATGTAAGAGTGGTCCACTCTAGAAATCATCCCATCCATAATCATTTTCTTCCCTTTTATGATTGCAAGCAGGTGGGGAAAAAGGTGTAGTGCAAGTTGGGCACTTGATTGATTGTCACTCTTGTTGGACAGGGTTTGAGGTCTTGACTAGGAGATAAGGAGACATTGCTTTGGCTACTTTGGCTAAAAGGATAAAAACACAAATTAAATTTTATTTTTGTATTCTTTGTTTTTAAATTATTTATTATTTAAAAAAAAAAATTGTAATCTAGTGAAAAAAAATTGTAATTCCTTTCCAGCTATATATAGTTATTTAAATCAACACTCATGTAATAGGGTCTAATTAAAAATTGTTAGTTGAAGTAGTTAAACACTTATATTTCTTAATTAAGGATTAGAGTTTAATCTTATCTTAATCATGTAATGGTGAACCAAAAATATTAGGGGTGGACAAAAAAAATTAAATTGAACTGAACTGATGGTGAATTGTACTATAAAAAACTGAACTGTTTGTAAAAAAACTGAACTGAACTGTTTAAAAAAAACTGAACTGTTGTAAAGTTGAACTTACTGAACTATAAAAATTGAACTGAATTATAAAAATTAAACTATTTTTTTATAAAAAAATAAAAATTAAATGTGTTTAACATATTATGTCTTAATAGATTAGCTCGATAGTCTAATAATCAAAACTTTAGAAAAAAAGTGATCTAAAAAAAATTGTATCAATTTTGTCGAACTTAACGGATCAATTGAGCTATGTTGAACTACTTTTTTTTAGGCTTAAAATTTAGTGAGTTTGTTTGACTTAATTTTATATTTTTTTCCTTTGAAAAATTTAAATAAAATGGAAAATAAAGTAAAGTTGGTAAATGTGTCCTATTTTGATAGATCAATGAGTCAAAATTGTTCAATTCAAAATATTATAACAATTTAGTGCAGTTTAAATTATAGTTCAGTTCAAGTTTTTATAGTATAGTTCAGTTCAGTTTAATGACACAAAAGAATAGTTCAGTTCAGTTAAACTGAACTAATATTTAGTTCATTTCAGTTCATATGAACTACTTTTAAGTTCAATATAATTTTTATAAGTTCAGTTCAGTTCAGTTCGTTTTGCTCACCCCTAAAAAAATATCACTATACACCTATAGGAGGCCGACTCGGTGGAGTGACAGTATTGCATCTCAAGTTTTCATGCAAATGGTATCACATGTTGTATCGTTAACATAAAAATTCACGTAGTGCAATGCACATCAAGCAAGTTTTTATGTGCACACGTGTAAGGGGAATTTTAGCTTAAAAGATAGTGCACTTTTTGTGTCGAGAACCCATTATATATAAACGTAAAGAGAAAAGAAGATTCAAGAGAAGAGGAAACTTAAACTTGTGGTTATTAAAACTTCTTTAGAACTAGCTGGAGAAAATCAAGAGGACATCACGTGCTCACCAGTGTCACCGTTGAGTCCTCCACCTTTAACCAAATAAGTGGTTGAATGTGACAAAATGTGAGGAAATTCCAAGATTTTTGTAAGGAAGTTGAAAAAGGGCCCAACCAAGAATGTCATACCAAAGGAAGAGAAACAAAACCTAAGGGCCCAACTTCAAGGCCCAAACTGTGTAAACATAGACCCAAAAACTAGGATTTGTATACTAATAATGCGTAGGTGGTCTTCTCAGCAAGGCATATCAAACAAAGAGATAGATGTCATAGGCTAAGAACATTGTTAAAAAATCGTTAGGATTGTGTAACTAGTAGACTTGCAATTGTAGTTTGTAGGGAACAATTAAAGCTCAAGCAATGATTAAATTGTTGTATGCACGCATTTTGCAGATAAGAAATACAATCCTGAACTCCTAGTAAGTATCATTTTTTTCTCTCCATCATAATTGTGACATGACACGTGCGTGAGCTATACATAGCATAATCAACATATATGTTTATTATATATTAATACTAATGTAATATTAGAAAAAGATAATTAGACACATCCTCAAGGTAATACTTAAGAATTCTTTAATGGAAAAATCTATTGAGATGATTGTCAAATCCACCATAGCTTGTTCCTATCTCCTCCAATATGCATTCATGATTGTAAAGGTAAAAGAAATCAAATAAATATGGAAAGGAATGAGAAAGGTTAGTGCACCAATTCCAAAGAGAAGATAAACAAAAATGATAAATTTGTTACAAGAAGATTTTTTAATAAAAATTCTTAAAGAACAAAATTTTTAAGGAGAGAACTAAGAGCTCTAAATAGAGAATTTAAGAAATTCAATTCTCATATATCAAGGAGGAAAAGTGATATATAAAGTTTGATAACTTCTGGTACAAGTTAAGCTAACCAAAATTACATGTAACTAAAACTATAAGGGAAAAAATCAAATTACATACCACAATAGTATAGTCTTCATGCATTCTTTCATCAACTCGAATTTCAACATACAAGTAATATACGTTAAGTTAAAAGACAATTTTGGATCTATCAAGTTTTAATGATAACAAACGAAAGATTTATCTTTTAACAAAAGTTAAATATCTACAAAGATATATTATATCTGACGAAATGTGGAAAATATATATCATCTAAAGAAAATCAAACGAAGCATACAGTTTGTCTCTATGCATTAAATGTATGATTTCAAATGAGACTAACCTTAAATTTCATTAAATGTATTATTCTTTAACAGATCGAATAAGAAAGAAGCTTTAAAACATATGTTAAAGAATAAAAAGAAAAAATATCCGTTATAAGCAAAAAGTAAAATCCCAACTATCATAGAAAAGACTTTACAAAAGACTGAGCTACGCTGACTTCAATTACTCTGCGTTGATATAGCTTATACCATGCTCATTTTAGAAGGAAATAGTGATAAGTAGTCTACTAGATCATATAAGAGATACACGTTTTGCTAAAAGGCATTTAATGCTCATGTTAAATGCATCAATGGTAATTTTTAGGATCAACAAAGAAGACAGATGAAGCAACTCGTGAAGCAAATTATAAGTTCAATTCAAAGTTGTCGTAACGACCATTTTCTCTAAAGTTACTATAAATGGATCAAGCCTTCAAACAACAAGGAGAGGGTGACACGTACATATAGAATATAAGTGACAGAAGCAAAGAAGTATTCTATTATAAATCTTGTACATACTTCTTTGTAGATTACTTGTGTTTTCATTGTTGATTACATCATGTCTAGAAGAGACGAAACAATTTTGTAATTATTTATTACCTTATTTTAAGGGTTGAACTTAGAGAGACTTGTATAAAAGAGTACTTAGTGTTGAACCTATAAAAGCTTGTGTGAAAGAATACTTAGTATTGAGCTTAGAGAAGCTTGGTTGAAAAAATAATTGATGTTAAGCCTCAAGAGGCTTGTTGTTCAAAGAATACTTAGGTAGTTGCTTGAAGAGACAAGTAAAAAATTACTTAGGATTGAGTTAGAAGTGACTTGGTTAAAAAATACTTATAATTTTGTGAAAGTTAGTGAAACTCAATCTAGTTGAATTGAAAACTGGACGTAATCTTAGTAGTTAAGACGAATCGGTATAAAAACCTCTAGTGCTTCATCTAACTTTTCTCCGGTGTTTCGTTTGATAAGTCATTTTATTTTCATTATACAAATGTGAGTTTTTGATACATACACACTATTCAACCCCTTTTTATGTGTATTTTTTCTCCACAATATATTATATGAAAATAAATGTAAGAAATTTCTTAGTATTTAGTTTAATGACTAGATTAAGAAGAAATGAATAATAATCCCGAAATTGACCAAAAAGTGACAAAGTCAAATATGGCAGCTGGTGTGTGGCATGCATCTAGGTATGAACCTTATAGTAATCAGTGAGTATAAAGTAACTAATAAAATAATAATATTATAAAATAATTACTATAATGTATTAATGTTAGAGTGTTAGTGTAGTGATGTTACACTTACATGTTACTAATAAAATCACAATATTAAGATAAGAATTATAATAATAAATTAAAATAAATAATAATAATAATTTTAATTGATTCAATTCTCGAATCATTAAATTTGTAAAATGCAGATTTGAGATTCAGACCAATTAAAGTCTAATTTAACTAGTTTGAATAAGATTTAATCTGATAAAAAAAATCAAACCAACTTAATTAGTTTAATTCAGATAATCAATTTTATCAAATTGTCCGAAACAATGATAACCCCTACTTATATAGATGATAATTATATTTAGTATCGGTAAAACTTCAAATACTTAAAATTATAACTATTTAAATAAAACTTACAAAACTATTGTTATATAACTCATTCAATAAACAAATAAGTTGTCCTTAAATAAATATAATATACATTATTACTTACAATTTTTTAATTTTCGATCATAATTTATATCTATTACTATATATAACTCAACTTTAATATGTTGCTCTAACATAGAGGTAAAATATTTGTATAAAAATTGATCAAATGATTTATCGGTTTTGTTCTACAATTGTTGCTCAATCTTTCGGATATATATATATATATAACTTATTTTTCAACGTGTTTGAAATATTTTTCAAAAATAAATAAATTGAAAATACAATTCAACGATCTCTTTCTTCTACTTTTTTTCTTTTGTCTTTACAAAACATATCCCAAAAAATGTCTTAGATAAGATTAAAATTTTATTTAAAATAAACTTATATCTGTTAAGCTTTATATGAGGATTAATTGACATTAAACTTCTATAAAAAAAATCTCTTATAAAATTATTTTAACTTAACCAATAGTATCAACTCCTTGAATTCTACATATATAACTAATTAGATCAAATATTTAGAGAAAGAACTTTATTGCTCATACTATCTCCATTTAACTGGAGTAAAATTGTCTAAAAGGAACCCATGTGGATATATATTAAAGAAATAAGACAAAATAACGTCTTATGAAGAAAGAACTAGATGTCTTTGTATTTTTAAGCCATTAAATTTATTCACTATTTTATTTTATAAAATGTTCGAAGAAAAAATAGCTAGAGAACATAACATTATTCATTAAAAGAAATTGAATGCAGGATCGTCCACGTCCCAAAAAAGGAGAAGTAGCAAATTAATAATAGGTTATAGGGCGTGAAAATAAAGAAGGGTACAATCAGCTTCTAGAATTTATTGCAAAATTTCATATTTATTGATTATTCTCCCATGCATCATGCATGCGTTTTGGAATGCCCACCCCACTTCTTTATCCTATCTTCCGCAAGGGAGGCCTGCCATTTACACGAGTAATTAATTAGCATTTAATGATCACATTAACCTTCAATAATCATTCTTGAGAACCTAATTAAAATAACACATCTGAGGAAAAGAGAGAAGTGTAATTAATTATCATAAATAATATGATACAATAAAAAAAATGTGTTGATAAAGTATTTAATACATGATAAAATTTAGATATAATTTCTTAAATGTAGTTGATATTATTTTCCAATCAGAATTAAAATTTTACCTTAATATAACATCTACATGTATTAATGTAAATTTTATTAATATATATTTATACATATTATCAAAATAAACTTTCATTTATATATATCAGAGAATAACACTGGTTACACTTCTTAAGTATAAGATTTGTCCGGTATTCATTCATCATCACCCTACAACCTTAATCTTATCACCAAATTGGTTTGTTTTTGCAAGAAATATGCATAAAGAAAAAAAAACAACAATTACCTCTTTATTCCAATCAGTTTTATAGATCATGAAGAATAGAACCGCAGTTTGTAAGATGGTCCCTGACAGCATTCCAGACCAGATTCCCTAAAATTCATCCATCATAAATTCCAAAAGATCAATAGATCATTCCGCAACCATTTCAAAAAGTTAAAGGTCAATGATGAGGATTTTGTCGTGTGTACGCCACTTGTCTTCTAATGCTTTTTTTTTTTTTCTTTCATAACGTTCAATTATAAGTGTAAAAGGTCAACTTAATTCAATGCCACTGTATTATGATTAAGTCGAGTTAGATAATAACTTGATTAATTATAATATTAATATATTTTTTAAATTTGAAAAATTAACAAAAATAATACATAACTAGTTCAAATTCTAACATATATTTCATTATTAACAATGATAAATAACATCTGACATATATTGTCTACATATATAATACTAATAAGAATAATAATATAAATACATATATTAGATAATTAATTTAAATTTTAATATATATATGTCTATAATTGTATCTGTTATTATTTTATGTATATTATATAATTAATATTTTTAAAATTTAAGTCAAGTTGGTTGAGTTACAAATCTCTTATCATGTTATCCAACTAAATTATAATAGCTTAAGTTAAAAATGAGTAACTTAATTGAATGACTTAACCCAACTTATTAAAACTAAAACTATGCAACTGAGTTGGGTTAGATCAGCGGGGTTCGCAGGTGGGTCACGAAACACTTAAGCACCTATTTTTCTTGGTGCCGGTCTAGTTTCACACATGTATGTACGAATACACTTTAAGAAAATTAGGTGGTGTCGATGTTTTACACGTTCTGTCTGCAGGTTTGGCTTTGGGCAATGTGAAATGATGATATTTGAGAAGGTAGCGCTGGAAAAGAATAAAAAAAGAGAAATAATAATGGAAGAAAGATGAAGAGAAAAGGTTACCATGACACCGAAGTCGAGAACGTAGCCCAAAACAAGACCGAGAGGAATACCGAAGATGTAGTAACATGCGATGTTAACGTAAGCAACTGCTGTCTGCCACCCTGCGCCAACTGCAACTCCTGAGAGAACAGGTTGGACGTTGTTGATTACAATGCAGAGGGCCAACATGGGTGTGAGGTCCACCACCATCTTTCTCACTGCTGAATCGTTTGAAAACAAGAATGGGTACTGCTCACGGAATATTATCAGAACCAGTGAGAGTAAGATACCGATCAGAATCGAAGTAACCACAGCGACCAGGAGTGAAAACTTTGCTGTTCTTGGGTGACTTGCTCCCAGTTCATTTGACACTCTCACACTGCATGTATCATTCACCAAAATTATACATATTTCGTCACGTGCTAACATCACTAACAACACACTCATTTAACACTTTTTTTTAAAAAAAATATTCTATTGTTGATTGAGGTTTATTGAAAATTATAAGTTTTACATTTCTTTTAATTGAGAAAATATTTAAAAGACGCACATTGACAATTTTTTTCGTAATAATATTAGTTTAAATTTATCAAAACATTTACATAATTTAGTAGGTTCATAATAATATTTCATTATTTTTTACTTTTTAATATATTTTGACTTCTAAGAAAAAAATATTTAGAAAAGTGTGTTAAATAATGGATTACTATCTAACACTACTTTTTTTTTAGTTATATATATGAACTAAAATATACTTGTATGTATACAAGTTAGACTAGTAACATGGACATATTTAAATACGTTTCTTTATAAATATTTTTTAAGAGAGAAAAGTAATAAAATAAAATAAGTTTTAATAAATTAAAATTACAGCACCTACACACTTAACCAATTGTGCTAAACTCGTTAGTATGTTTAATTAGATTAAGGGTGCGCGTGGCAAGAACAAACCTCACGGCCGCGTTCATTCCAAAGGATACCATGATGGTCCATCCCAATATGTTCATGCTGCAAATTCAATAACACAACATGAGACACATGATATATCATTTGATCAAATCCAAATAATAAAGTGAAAAGAGAGGTGATCCAATTCATGTTGCACGGCAGAAATAAGTAGATAAATAAAGTAAAAGTAAGATAAAGAGAAAGTGATATCTAAAACTTTTCTTTTGTATTATTTTCTGTCCACAACTCTAATAAGTAGAGCAACTTTATCGGTGGTCAGGGAATAACCATTATTGTCAGGAAAGCTTAGCTATTTTTTGGAAGCATCACGGATATGTGAAAGTGATTTGGAATACTACTGATTATTTTATATGAAGTATCAATGTTGGGCCTTTAATAACCAAAATGAAATATATATATAAAGATATATTATTTTAATTCAAACAGATATATCAGTCTTTAATTCAAATATATATATATATATGAGGGTATTTCAAAATCATTGATTAGGGATAAGTCTAGTTATCGAGTATTCCCTAATTGATAAAATTTTCAAAACGAAAGTTTAAACTATCTGTGAGTAAGATTGAAATTTTTTAGATTCTGACAGCTGCTAGTTGGTGATTCCACAAAATCGTTACATAACCTAATTATGTTAGGTTATTTATGAAAGGTTAACAAGTTTTATTATTTTAAATAAAATATAATTTACTTATGTTTGTATTTTTTAATTTTTATTATGTGAATTTTTACAATAATAATCTTAAAATTTCATAATATTTTTACTTTGAATAATTTATAAATTACATAATTATAAATTAATTAATAAATTATAAACAAAACATAATAATTTAAAATTTTTGTGAAACCCATTAAAAATAACTTTACAGAGTTGTTACTATTATATAGATTTTATGCTTAAAATTATTTATACCAAAAATCATTATAAGCAACAAAGTGAGTTGCTACCATAAGCTTTCCATCGTGGTTGATTCAATTTCAGTATAAAAACTTGCATGTGTCTACCTTCAGAATGGAAATAAAAAATGTTGAAAATTATTCAAAACTATGAAACCTATTAAAATGATTTTTTCAGAGTATTTTAATAAGATAATTCCAAAATGAGAGAACGATGGGTAAAATAATCTCTCACCCATGTGGAATTAAAACAATATTTGAATGTATTATTAAAATAAATAACTAATATTCAATATTTTATTGTATATCATAACTATCAATTTACTTTAAAAATAACTCCACATGCTGAGGAGCTTTTTTCGCCCCCTTTTCTCGTAATTAACCTTATAATAAGTGAAGGTATAGTAGATAGTACCAACTAATTAGTGTTCGATGTGGACTATAGGCTCAAACATAAATCACAATTTTGTTTTCATACTAACTATTTACCGTAAATTTAATTAATTATTATAAATTATTTTTTAACTATATTTTTTTATAGACAAAATTTAAATACAGTTATTTAAGTATAGTTAATATTATTCTTTAATTAGAATTGAAATTTATGTTGATATTATTAATACAAATTTTATTAATATACATTTACATACATTATCTAGATATTAGCTCTAATTAAAAATTAATACAAATTACACCTAAAAAAACTTTATCTAAATTTTTTTCTTTTATATAAAAGAATCAATAAGAAGATAAAACCTAATTATAAGAAGAATCCAAGTCAAATGATTATTTTTATTTTTTTTTCCGTAACAGGCCCACATGATGTGCATACTGTGATCCCGATAAAAGAAAGATATAAAGAAGCTTCCAACTAGATCCAGAATCAAGTATTGAATATACTTGTCTGGTAGACACGAGGTGCACGGTGAACGGCACGGCACCCTGTCCTAGATGGCTAGATCCGTGTCGTAGGTTTGAAATTTGGACGTATTGGTGGCGTATATCAAAATGAAGTTCAGAATAAGGGTAAGATTAAGGATGTTGGTGATAAACTTTTGAACAAAACAACTCAGCACTCAGTAGTACGTTTTCCTATTTGGAAGAGACTCCAAAATGATAAGATGTCATCCATTTTGTTTTCTTTAGAAAAAAGTAATATGCATAGTATACTATTATCTGATTATAAATTATTATAGATATATATTTGTTGAATTCATAATAATTATCCTAAAAATTAAATTAATATTAATTTTAATTGGTTAATGGTGTAATTATTATTTTTCACTGATGGTATATATCTATTAAACTTTTTTTTTTCTGGTATTTTTGCTATTTGTATGTGTAAACCAATAAGAGAAATGATACTTGTACTCTAATTTTGTATAATAATTTATATAACAGATAATGAAAAAAGAAAAATATATAACAAGATATATGATGAAATAATTTCATAAAGAAAAAAATTATCTTATAGAAAATATAAGAGTTTTATTTTCATGTCATATCAGAATAAATAATGGATTAAATGGTTGAAATATAATATATTGTATGGGAGAGGTAATCAGGATTAGTATGGGACAGGAGTTACTATTACTTCTTACAAAGGTTTAGGGAGGTACCAATTGTTACTATTTTTATTCAGATATTTTGTAATTGACATGTGTTGTGTCTCTTTATATATAATTGAAATAATTTATAAAAAATAATTATAAATTATTTTAACCTTTTTATTAAAAAAAATAGAAACACTTTTCTTTTCCTATTAAAAAGGTATAACTCCTTCTATAAGTCGACTCCTAGAAAGGTAAAGTTATACTTTCAACTACGAATTCTTATATTTGTGTAAACATCCTTTAAATATATACTCATGTATTTTTTTAGTATATGTAGGAATTCACCGGCATCCATGAATTTTTATTAAAAAACATATAAATAGTTTAAATTTTTTAATAATTTTTTATTCTAATTAATTTTTAAAAATAATAATTTAAAAGTCAAATTTTAAATTATTTAAATATTATACATAATTTTATTAATAAAATATTTTCAAATTAAAATTTTAATTTAATTATTATATTCTCATAAATTTAATTAATTAAAATAATTCAATTTCAAAAAGGGCAAAATAAAAGTTAAACATATTACGTAAATAATATACTAATAATTAGAAGTGGATATATTGTCTATTTAGCTTGATCCGCGTATAATTAATATATACATTTAAATGAATCGTACCAGTCTAACTTGCTATTGAATGGACTTCATTTTTGCCTAACCTATGGGTTAATGGATTGGTTTAGGCTAATTAATAAACGAATTGAAAATTTCTACAAAAATAAAATAAATAAAAAAAATAAAAACCTAGAGAATTATTTAAAAATTGATTAACAAACTGAAAAATGTCTAATATATAAAATTATTAAAAAAATTATATAAATATATATATAGAAGATAGTTTAAACGACATTTAATAATTTTTACTAATTATTATATTATTTAATAATTTTATATTTATCACTCTAATAGTTAAATTATAACTTAAAATTATCTTGTATATTTATGTTAAATTTTGTTAAAACTAAACAATAATTTAAAAATAATCAAAAAATTAATATTTTTTATTTTAAATTAAATATATTATATTAATTTTGATAAATAAAATATCATATCATCTTAAATTAATATAAAATATTATATATAAATATCTTGGATTAATATATATATATAATGAGCTTTCTACATCACGGGCCACGGCTCATATATTTGAGTTAAGAGTAGTTTGTGATGAAAAATAAAAGTTTAAAACATGAGTACATGGAGTCGTTATAGAAATTTTAATTTGGCTCTTGATATACTAAAAGTTCATATATTAAACCAAAAATAAATTATTTTCTTAATTTATCATGAGTTTAAAATATGGCAAAAAGGAAAAAGTGAAAATTTTGGCTAAAAGTATTAATTGGAGAAAGATTCAGAAAATAGAAGAGTCCAATTAAATAATTAGTAATGAAAGTAGTGGTTTTTTGTTTTTGTTTTTATTTTTCTTTTTGGTGAATTAGTGGTTTAAATTTTATATTGACCAGTCCCCTACTCCCAATGCCCCCACTGATCATGGACGCTACACAATTACGTAACCAATTAGGCAATTACTCACCAGATAGACAAGGCATCCACCGAGACTTCCGCGTTCTTTAAATATCCAGCGAAGAGAATCAGAGCCATAAAATACCATACCTCCAGGCTGCACATAATTTTTCAAACAAATAACAAAAATACTTCATCAGTATCAATCTTTATGTTATTAAAATATATACTTATTATATTTTATATTTAAATAATAAAATTTTATTTTACTTATTTTAAACCAGTTCTTAGGGTATATTTAGATTCAAATTAAAAAATGTTAGAAATATGTTCTTTAACATATTTTTTAAATAATTTTATGATTTATTGAAATTTATTAAGAAAAGGCACTTAAAAGTCTCATTTTATATTTAGTGAAAATATTTTTAACATCCCTCAAAAATTGAGTTTAACACTTATCAAAAGGCAAGGAATATCGAATAAGAAAATGTTCAAATTAGAATGTATGAGCGGGAGGAAGAAAGAAACAAAGAAAGAAAAGGAGAAAAAAGAGAAGAAAAAATATGATAAATGTGTCATTTGTTTTCGTAAGTATAATTTTTTAAGACTAGTTTATTTAAGATACTGTATAGCATTAATTGGTGGACACTTCTAGAAGGAATTCAAATCTTGACTCATTATATTGTGAGAGACTAATATTTTCACTTGAATTCATGAACTTGTTAGATAAATATAATATATGATATGACAGAAAATAAAATAGGAGTGATGTATAGAGTATAAAATAAGTGTTAAAAACACACTGTTTGAGGCTTTGACTTTGACACACTTTGAAACATATCCTTTTTTATTGTATCAATTAAAATATATTAAAGATCATGATTGTGTTTGGTTACCCTCTTACTCTATTTAGTTACTAATACTTTTAATATTTGGTAAGATTTAATGATTTTTGACAGCGCAGCCCTCCACATGTAATAATAACATATAATAAAGTAGATTCTCTTATTTAGTATACATATCTTTTCATATGATTTTATTTTTAAATTTTTAAAAAATAAAATATCATATTAAAAATTAATTATTTTTATAAAAATAAAACTTGAATTCAAAGTCTCTAAATTTAAAAAATCAATATAATATTAATTAACCTACTGAATATTAATAATTTTTTTAAAATATTTTATTAAATAAAATATAAAAATATTAATGCTATCAATAAATATATAAATAGAATATAATAATCCACGCAGAATGTTTTTGACGACTTGACGTGAGAAGAAAAGGCAGAGAGTATAGTATTTATTTCGATCCCACACTATTTTGGCAGCTTTCACCTCGGAAATATTCGTGCTCCACGAGCCAACTACTACAATAATGTCTGATAAATGAAATCCATTTGTGGTTACTCTTCTTACACCTTATATATACATATATACTAAATCCGCGTGTATATAAGAAATATTAAAATACCACACAAAAAGACACGTTTTAACTAATTTAATAAATATAGTTGACGCTATTTTATAATTAAAATTAAAATTTTATTTAATAATATATAGTTATATTTAATATAAATCTTATAAGTATATATTTATTATAATAAAAAAAAAATGTGTTACGTGTTGTGATTAAATTATTTGTAATATGTGAAAGATTAGTTAAATATAATATTTAAGAAAAGGAAATGGCAGACAAACCAGAGCATAACGGCGGACGCAAGAGAGAGGCGAACGAATCCCCAAAGGTTGCGGAAGGCTTCGAGGGAGAAGCCAGACCACGCTTCCCCACAGGTGCCACTCAATATGTAGGCGAACTGGCCGACGTCGATGAACCACCAGGAGGCGTTGAGCACGACGGCGGCGCCGACCAGTCCCCAGCCGAGCTTCAGCATGAGGAGCCAGCTGAAGAGGACGTGGAGGAGGAGCGCGGCGGCGGCGATCCACGCCATGGCCATGATCTTGCTCTGCGCCTGGAGGAACTTCTGCATAGGGTAGTTGAAGGTGTAGGCGAAGAGCTGCGGAATCATCAAGAGCGCGAACTTCCCCGCCGCCTCCGATATCGTCGCCGTCTGCCCTATCGCCTTCAGCAGCGGCTCCGCCAGCACGTACAGGAGCAGAAGCAGAATCGCCGTCGAGTTCATAATCACCCACGAACGCTGCATGTACACGCCCAGCATGTGCACCTGCCCCGCACCGTATGCTTGCCCGCACAGCGTCTCCAACGCGCTTCCCATTCCATACTATTTCAATTCCACCAAACAATCCAATAACACTTAGTGCGTGTTTGCTTCGGCTTTTCGACGTGAAAATTCACGTTCATGATAAACAAAAAATTAAATTTGTTTCAAAACGTGGAGAGAGGGTGAAAAATTACGTTTATAAAATATTTTGAGACTACAGCCAGTTTTAAAATTAAATTTTTTTTAATGACGTGATAAGAAAATTAACGTACATTTATAAAAAAAATAACAAAAAATAATAATATTATTTATGATCAAATTTTTTTTTTATAAGTTTAGACAATGATCAAAAAAAAAATACTAATTTATTATAAATTTAATTATAAGTAAAAAAAAAAATATTTTGAGAATCTAAAGCTAGAGTTTGGAGAGTCTCATGCTTCCTATCCTCATTTACAAACGCTATTTTACCTTTTAAAAATTGACTTTCCTTTTTATCTATTTTTTTAGAAAAATTTATTCAAATTTAGCTTTTCACCAACATATTCTATTTCTAATTTGAGAAACACTGTTAGAAAGAATAATACGTTCAATTTGTAATACTCTCTAGTATCAGAAATAAGGTACTGCACAAGTTGATTTTAACTTTGGGAAGTGATTTGGAAAAGGTTAATTTATATGAACTATTAATATTAGTTGAGTTGAGAAATGAATTTTGTTATGTACCGTGATGCCGAGGCAGAAGCCGGCGATGACGGAGTTTTCGACGGAGACGGCGGCGAGGGCGATGGTGCTGACGTGGCCGGAGAAGACCTGAGTGATGGCGCCGAGGGAGTACTGGCAGATGGAGGTGAAGATGGCGGGGCCGGCGAGGTACCAGAGCTTCTTGGACTCGATGAAGAACTCTCTGGTGAAGTCTCCGACGGCGGCGATTGGAGCGATGTCGTCGGAGTCCGCCTTGAAGACTGCGGAGTCTGGTGGTGTTTGGTGTCGCGACGTGAGGAGCGGTTGAGTTTGGTGGCCGTTGTCCTCCATCGTGATCTGAATCTGATTCGTAGAGTTGAAATTTCTCCAACATTTTATAGACCAAAATGGGGACCTCACGACACAATTTACAATTATAAAATCCTAATTTTGTAACACTATTCGTCCTCGTCGTTTGCTCCGGAAAAGGTAATTACAAAAAAAATATATATTACTAGTTGGATATTTTTAATTTTTAATACAATACATTTTCTTCCATTATTCTAAATTGAGACTCCTGAACACTTTTGTTTTATATATTTATTTTTATTAGTTAGAGTTTATTAAAATTATAATATCAGGATAGAGAATTATAAAAGAAGATTTAAAATGTATTAAATTTTGTATAAATTTGTAATAAATTCTAACTCATGAGAGCGGGTCACTACAATAAATGTTACATACAGTGACATACAAAAAATGTCATTATGTGTATGATATATGTAGGTATATATCTATTTGACATATAACTATACACAATTTTAGTATTGATTTTGAATGAGATTTAACAACATATTTTATGTGTCACTATAGCTTATACCTACACTTTTTAACAATATACCAACATATATTATATTTATTGTGTAAGTAAAAATAGTTTTTAGTGACACTTATTGTGTCACTATACGGCAATTTCCTTGTAGTGGATGTTTAAAAGAATGTAAAAGATAGTGTATTTTTAATTTTTTTTTAATAAATTTATTAGAAAATATAAAACTATGAGAGAAAATTATAAAATAAAATATGAGATCAATGAAATTTTATAATTTTTAATAAATTGCAAAAGTATATTTAATAATAAATTGAGAAGATTGATTATTCTTTCTCCATATAAATTAAAATGATTATATTGATGGAGAGTATTTTCAGAAATTATTCCTCAATTAAAGTATTTTTAATTCTTTTTTATAATAAGAGTAGTTTTAGGAAAATTTTTTAGTTTCTTATATCTTTTAAGCTATCATTTTTTTTAAATTGAGTATCAATAATTTTTTAAAAGAAATTTCCAATAAATTAAAATAAACTTGTATCATAATATAAATAAGGATTAAATGAATTTTTTTTGTCATTTAACTATTTCAAAATTCAGTTTTTACTCTCTCAAAAAATTTGCTCTTTTTTAGTCTACATAATTATTAAATTAGAAATGTTAAGTGTTGGTGTGTCCAAGAAAAATACATACAAGCACAACATATCAATTATCTTATATAATTTAATACACATGACACATCTACAAAAATGACACAAGTCACCTTAATGTAGTGTCACGTGATACTTTCATGTAATACTATGTAATATTTATGTTAGAGAGTCATGTATTTGTCACTTGAATGACATATATATCATACTAACACTAACATGTAAATATGTTAAACACTTCAGCACTTAACAATTTTAATTTAATGTCAAAAATTAAAATTGTAGACAAAAAATAAATGAAGAATTTCAAAGTAGTAAAATATTATGAAGATACTAAAAAATTAATTATAAAATAGTTAAAAGATAAAAAAAAAATATTTAACCTTATAAGTTATTTATCATAAACTTAAAATATATATTATATGATAAAATTAATTATTTATTAGAAATTTTAATTTCAATATAATTTTAATTTTAAATTTTTAAAATTTTAAATTTATAAGATAAAATTTATTATCTGCGCATAAACTAAAATATTAGTTGACTAATAATACTTTACAAAATATAATTAAAAATATATTTTATATAAAATAATTTTACTTGGGACTCAATCCAATATCTGTTCAAATAGTCAAATACTATAAACATAAACATTAGCCACCACTTTAATTTTTCTTACAAGGGCAAATTATATTGATAATTTATTAACTAGGATTGTTTTTTGAATATTTTTTAATTTTTAAAAATTATTGAACTGTAATAATGAGCTGTATATCGACAAAAAAAAAAAACAATTCAATCGTACTTGGTTTATTCCAACTCACTTAACACGTGTTTGATAAGGGCTATTTTAAAAAAATATATTCTTTAATTTTATCATGAAACTTGAAAAAGAAAAGTTTGTTATATTTTTTATAGTCAGTTTTAATTAAATTAAATTAAATCGAGTTCACACTTAATTAAAGAAATTAGCTTATTTAAATGAAAAAGAAAAAAATAAAAATATAGGATATACCAAATTTACAGATTAAATAACGGTTACAAACATTTTGGATAGATTCAATGATTCATCACTCGTATCATGATTCATGTGGCATATCTAATTATGATTTTCACTTCAGAGAAAATGACGGTGTCTTCTTTTCTGAAATACGTATCCACTATCCAGCGGAAATGGCATAACCTGTCTCATATCATATCCAAATGACACACTGACTTTTATAATATATTTATTGGACTATGCTTTCGGAACCGACACCCAATTTTGACCAGGTAAACCAAAGTGATTAACTGATTGATTACCAGCTATGCAAGATCTATTTCTTTCTTCTTTTTTTTTTTTTTTAATTTTATAACAGGTGTAATGTTTAAAGAAAAAATTAAAAATTAAAAATACTGTTAATTTTTAATGTAATATTAATTATTTTTAATATTTTTCACAATATTTTTAGAAAGTAATTATTACATCAAATTAATTTTAGTAAAAAAATTATTATAAGACTAATTTTGTAAAATTATTATTTTTCTTCATTTCACTCGTACAAAAATATTATCTTCTAATACATTTTTTATGTCGGATGTTATCCACATGACATAGAAAGTGACACGGTAGCATACTTGTTAAGTCAAAAGATAAGTTTGAATCTCTCAAATTTTAAAGTTTTAATACTAACAAATGAAACACTTTTATAAGATACAATGTCTTAAAAAAACATCTTTGAAAATATTTTCGAAAATCAAAAGAAGTGTAAAATGTACTAAGATGATGTGAATCAGATAAAACATACAATCTGTCTCATTTATTAAATGTTCATTAATTATTAAGACTAATGACAAAATTCATTTTGGATGTCTTATTCTTTAATAGATCGAACTAAAAAATCATATTGGAACTCACAAATCTGTTAAAGAGAACAAAATCATGTTTTTCGTCAGGATTGAGAACAAAGACCCCTAAAATCATAGAGAAATGCAAATAAAGTCATTGTTGCTACTACACTACACTAACATTGTTTCTACAAGTTCTGTTTGGTAGGAAAAAATGATAAGTAGCTTCTTTGATTAGATAAGAGGTACCATTTGGTGAAATTCATTTAATGTTTGCATTAAATGAGTCAATGGTTAGCTCCCATCTCAAGGAAATACATTGAAGATAGACAAAGCAAACTTAGGAGCTAGACTCAAAATGTTGCAACGGTCATCTTCTCCAAGGAATTATGTAAGAAGATTTGAAGCTCAAGAAATAAGATAGAACACATAGATACAATTGTATAGAAACATATACTCTTTGTAAATTATACTTGTGTATAATTCTCATTCTTTCTTGTAAAAACTTATTGCTCAATACTGATTGTATAAGGTCTAAGTGAGACAGAACACAATATCTTTGTAACTTTCATGACCATTGTTATAAGGTTGAGCCTAGAGAGGCTTGTCTATAAAACAACTTGTTTAAGCTTGAAGAGACTTGGTTGAAAAGAATACTTGGTTGTTAAGCCTAAACAGGTTTGTTACTTGGGTAGTTGCTTAAAGAGACAAGTCAAAGAATACTTAGGATTGAGCCAGAAATGACTTGTTGAAAGAATAGTTGTATCTTTGATGAAAGATAGTGGAACTTAATCTGGTTAGATTGAGAACTAGACGTAGTCTCCGTGGTCGAGACAAACCAATATAAAATACCTAGTGTTTTGTTTAACTTCTCTCTGCACTGCATCTGACTAATGTTACTACTTCACTACATAAAAATGCGAGTTTCTGATACACACTATTCAACTCCCCTTCTCCACAGTTTGGTATCAGAGCTCAACCTTTGACGGGGTTGAACATGTAACCATGTTAAAGGAAAATGATCCGCTATGGGAAGTAGTGAAGGATAATACCTACTAGAAGGAGCCTTTCTACAAGGCTTCTTGCCTTTAATGGAGAGGACTACCCATGTTGGAAATATTGAATGGATATGTTTATCAAATTTACCCAATACCACCTTTAGAGAATCATCACTCAAGGTGATGTTGTTGTTACTAAGCCTGAGAGTAAATACACTCAAGATAACTACAACACATTGCAATTCAACACCAAAGAAAGATACATCCTTGATTGCTCACTGTCTAGAATGGAGTATAATAAGTTCTACAGCTGCTCAACGACCAAGGAAATGTGGATGTCATTAGGGTAATTCATGAGGGTATTGAAGATGTAAGGCTCAAATGAGCTGCTACACTTCAAAGACATTATGAGTTGTTCTCCATGAAGAAGAGCGAGTCCATAGACGAAATGTTTGGAAGATTTCAAACAATTTTGAATGGGTTAAAATCCTTGGGAACAAAGTTCTCCAAAGCTCAAAACAATCTCAAGATCATGGATAGTCTTCTAAAGATTTGGGAGCCAAAGCCACAACTATCTTAGAAGCATGCAACCTTAAGGTTCACTTGAACAATAGAGACCACCCTAAAGCAAATGACACTATTGTTTTGAAAGGTGGCGAGACCAACAAGACAAGAGAGAAAAGGGAAGGCTCTGAAAGTAGAATATGAGTCTAACAGCTTAGATGAAATTTTTGAGAACTCTATAGATGATGATGTTGGTCCCAGTTTACTAGAATATAGAAAGAGGGTTGAATAAATTCTATCCTAAGATGACTCACTTTTCGACAATTCTTGATAAAGACCTATCAAGTTATATAAAATACAACCTTTACTCAATTTGAATTAACACAAAATAGAAGATTACAAGGTTTATTACCAACATATCAGAATATCAACGTTAATGCAGTGAAATAATCACTTGTAACCAAGGTTGATTTTATATTACCTTATTTTTAATAAACTTCAATTATAAGAATAAAGATCAGAGTTGGTATTGCAATTGAAATTTTCATATCTCAAAAATCTTTAAATTCTTTAAACAAGAAATTAGCAAGATTCTTTAAAGATAAGGGTAAGAAGATAAAGAATACAAAAATTTATACTAGTTTAGCCATCCACTTGGCCTACATCCAGTTTTCCTTGATTTAGCACCCCACTAAATCAAAGATCATTCACTATAATATTGTTTACAAACACCTTGCACACACAATATTACAAGAATTCAAACAAACATCAATCTTGACACCACAAGATTGAAAACAAACAAAATTTTTGTACCCCATAGAAATTACTTGAGAAACCCTACTCAAGATTTCAACATCTCTTGTCGAGACACCCTATCTCAAGAGATACACCAATCAAAACGAAAATAAAAGTTTAAAGATCAGAAAGATATTACCTAATTTCGTGTAGATATTGATGTTTCACTCTTGAATACACTTCTTGAATTTCTTCTTTCAAGAATTCATGTTCTATCTTTGCACTTCTTGAAATTTCAGAAAAAATTCTTTGATAAGCCTTAAATCTTGTTTATGAAAGCAATCTTTTTCTCAAATGTTTTTCTTTCAAAATATTTTCAAAAAGTCTTTCAAAGTTCTCTTTTAATTTCAAAAAGATTAATTTTATAGAGTGCAAGACGTGATTCAGTTATAAAGAGTAATAAAAAAAGTAATATATTACCTGATATGATAATCTGTTACCAGCTCTTTAAAATGAACTAGAAACACAAATATCTCCAGGGTAATCGATTACGAGATATGGTAATCGATTATTCCGAGCTTTTTAAGATCTAGGATTGCCTTTCATTCTGTGGTATTCGATTATCTCTTGTGGTAATCAATTAACACGATGAAAACTTTGATTCTTCAGCCTTATTTCAATCAAGAGAGTCTGTTTTAATCTATTACCAACTTTGGTAATTTGTTACCTTAAAGAGTACTTGAAAAACATTTTCCAGTAACAAACGTGGTAACCTATTAACACAAAGAACATTTGAATATCCTTTTCTAGTAACAGATTTGGTAATCTATTAACATAGAGGACATTTGAATATCCTTTTCCAGCAACAGATTTGGTAATCTATTACCCTGAATGGTAATTGATTAACAATGTTACCTTGAAAATTCTTGTTTGAATCAAGTCATATTTCTATGTTTAAACACTTGGTAGTAAATTACCCTTTTTCAAGATAATCTATTACTTTATGTTTACTCATGGAAATACTAAAAAAATCAAATTCTTGGATTCTTAAAAAACTTGATTAGTTCTTGAATTAAGCATTCATCATCATTAATCATAAACAAACACACAGACAAGCCTATATCTATTACAATCAATATAATATCCTTTTGCATAGGCTCAAACACCATCTATACATTAACATCATCAAAACTAAAACTTCTTGAGGAGTCTTCAAGTCATCACAATGATCTCCATCATCTCAACAAATGAGATATCTCTCATGTTTAAAAGGTTCAAGGACATGCTAAAGAAGAAAGGAAGACTGAGAAACTTCCACAAAAAGAAGGAAATATTAAGAAAGTTAAGTTAGACTAACAACAAGTAGGTTATTTGTTACGAGTCCAAGAAGCCTGGTCACATGAAGGCTAATTGCCCATCTTAAGGGGAAAAAGTGGTCCTCCAAAAAGAAGGATAAGAAGAGCCTAAAGGCCATCTAGGAAGATCTGGAAAGTAGTAGTAACAACAATTCAGATGATGAAAATGCCAACTTATGCCTCATGACAAACATTGAGTCAAATGCTATTAACATCTGACTCAATTTGTTACTCTTTTGAATTAGATGAAGATGAGATGTCTTATGAGACACTTTTGGCTAACTCTCACATGATATCCCTCGAGTATAAGAAACTTAAAGAAAAACAAAAGATCCTTCAAAAAGAAAATCTTGAACTAAGAAAGAATATGTCAAATGCAGTAAGAGGGATAAAATCTCTCAAGGGCAAGATCACCAGCTTCATCCTATTGGAGGTTACAATATTGGAGGCTGAAAACCAACAAACCAAGAAGGACTTAGCCAAGTTTGTTGACAAATCTTCTAAGATGAACATGTTCTTAAAGCATATAGAAGACTTTCGTATGATAAAAGTGGTCTTGGTTTTGATCATAGATCAGGGACATCTCAAGCCAAACCCAAGGCTTCCTTTCATAAAGCCAATGGAAAAGGAGATGAAACTCCAAGCAAATGAAGGAGTAAGGCCAAGGGCATGGAGAATACAAGAAAGGACCCAAGAAAATATGGGTACTAAAATATCAAATAATCTTTGTTGTAGATATCCTTACTAGGAAGAAGGAAAGATTCACATTGGTACATGGACAATGACTGCTCATGACAAATGATGAGAGAAAGTTATATGTTCCTAAACCTCCAACCACATGAAGGATCAATCTCATTTATAAGTGAAAAAGGGAAAATCAAAGGTGTAGGTAAGATAGGTAAAGATTGTATACCTACTGTAAATAATGTTTTATATGTTGAAGGTCTAAAGTATAACCTACTTAACATAAGTCAATTTTGTGATAGTGGTTATATTGCAGTCTTTTATAAAGATGCATGCGTAATCAAGCAAGACGATGGATATGTGCTTTTCATTGATTAGTGGAAGAATAATCTCTATGAGATCAATCTAACTAGTTTAAACAAACAAAATGTAATCTGTCTAGAGTCCATAGAAGATGAAAAGTGGATTTGGCACAAAAAGCTTGGGCATGTCAATATGAAGCATATTTCAAAAATAACCAAAAAGGGTTTAGTAAAAGAACTATCTGAGATCTCTTAATAAACTCATCTTCTCTATGAATCAAGTTAGAAAGGGAAACCGATTAAAACATCTTTTAAAGCTAAGATTTTTTTTTCCCACTTCTAGACCTCTAGAACTATTAAATATGGATCTGTTTGGTCCAACTAGGACACTTAGTTTGGGAGGTAATTAGTATGGATTCGTAATTGTAAATGGCCATTATAGATATACATTAGTATACTTCCTAGGTCATAAACACGATTCATTTAAGGTCTTTGAAATATTTGTTCAAAATGAAAAAGGATTTTGCATTATTTCCATCAAAAGTGATCATGCAACTGAGTTTGAAAATTCTGATTTCAAAACCTTTTGTGAAAAATATGGCATCTTTCACAACTTCTCTTCATCGAGAACACCTCAATAAAACAATGTAGTTGAAAGAAAGAACTAAACTTTACAAGAAATGACAAGAACAATTCTTTGCGAAAACAATTTGCCAAAACACTTATGGGCAGAAATAGTGAATATAACGTCTTATATTCAAAACAAAATACTAATAAGACCACTGCTAAACAAGATTTCCTATGAATTGTGGAGAGGAAGAAAACCCAACATTTCATACTTCTATCCTTTTAGATGTGAATGTTTTATCCTAAACACTAAGACTCAAATGGGTAAGTTTGATTCCAAAGTGGACAAGGATATCTTCCTTAGATATTCTAATACTTAAAAGGCCTATAAATTTTAAAATTCTAGAACCTCTTTGGTAGAAGAATTTATCCATGTGAAGTTTAATGATGCACTAATGACTGATAGAAAATTATTAGATATAGAATAGGAATTTGCATATTCGCATATTGAAAGAAGTCAGACAAAGGAGTCAAACGCTACTAATTAGATGATGGACTCTCTTGAAGGTTAGATAAATCAGTTAGATGAAGCAAGCATACCTTAAAGAGACTAAAATTTTATCAATTATCATCCTCGAAATCAAATCTTAGGTGATAAGATTGGAGGCATCAAGATAAGGTCTTCCCTTAGATATAATGCTTCATGTGTTTTGGTGTCTAAAATAGAACCAAAGAACATAAATGAAGCATTGAGAGACAATAACTAGATCATTGCTATGAGGATGAGCTATATTAATTTGAAAGAAATGATGTTTGGACCTTAGTGTCAAAGCCAAAACACCAGAGCATCATCAAAACTAGATGAGTGATAAAAAACAAGCCAGACGTGTAAGGTAAAGTAGTAAAAATAAAGCTAGATTGGTAGCACAAGGCTATAATCAACAAGAAGATATCGATTTCACCAAAAAATTTGCTCTTGTTGCTAGACTCGTAGCTATTAGGATTATGTTAGCATTTACAACTTGCAAAAACATAAATATATTTTAAATGGATGTAAAAAACGTATTTTAAATGAAATCATTGAGGAGAAAATTTATGTTAAATAACCTCTAGGTTTTAAAAATCATAATTTTAAAGAACATGTTTTCAAACACAAAAGGAATCTTTACGGTATCAAGCAAGCTCCTAGAGCTTGGTATGCAAGACTAAGTAATTTTCTACTTAGCAATGGTTTTGTGATATGTAAAGTTGACACAACTCTTTTTAGAAGAGTCTAGAACAAATTTTATTGTAGTTCAAATATATGTTGATGATATAATACACTATTACAAAAAGAGTAATCTAAGTCGCTCAATCTAAGTCGGTTTATTAAAAAACGATGTAAAATAAGACGCGGTGACAATTTTGTAAATAAAATGAACGTAATCTACGACGTTTTAGAAAATAACCGTAGTAGAATAGCCTACACAAATATATCTACGAAGGTTTATAGTAAAACCGACTTAGATGTTAAGTGATCCACTACCGTTTTTGTGTATAACCGACTTAGATGGAGACCCAAAAGTAACGCGCGCACGTCCTCTCTCAATTCATGCGCTCTTCAGTCTCCCAATTCTCAGTTCTCTCTCAGTTCTATCTCACTTCTCTCCACATTCTTGCGTTCAAATTCTCAGCGACGGCCCTCCAATAACTCTCAACCTTGACGGTGGCTGAAGTTATTTCAAACGGGACGGGGAGGCCAATCTCGGGGACGATGCGTTCTTCGACCTTGACGGAGGCAAAGGCCATTCGCTGAAGCATATTTACCTAACTCATTATTATATGGTATTATATGGAGGATGCATCGGCTTCGAAGTTCATCCCGCACCAAATCGGAGGTGTCCAAAACGACGCGCTTCGATTCGGTCTTCATGGAGTCAAGAGCGACATCGTTGGTTCTCACCCTCTCCAATCTTCCCTCCAATCTGTAATCTCTCTAAACCCTATCTCTCGATTTTAATTTTTTCTGCGTTTTTTTTTACTACTCTTTGCTTCTGGAACCGCTTTATCCCATTCACCCGTCACCATTTCCCCTTTTAAATTAGGGTTCATTTTGAAAAGAAAACCCTCTAAATGAAAATAATTTAAATTCTTATCCACTCTAGCAGGTTTATAGCTTCGGTGTATTTAATTATACTCTGCATTTGTTTTTCTTGTGTTTCTCATGTGTAGACAAGGAGAATGGAAGAAGCGATGAAGAGGCAATGCAAAGTCAACTTGTATGGAACTGCTTTTCCTCTCAAGGAGGAACTTGACAGGCAAATATTGTCACGGTACGAGAATTTGGATTCCAATTATCTATTGTACTCTACTTTCTTTATGTGTTTCGGAAGCTAAATCTATTTCGGTGATAAAATGATATTAGACTTTGTCTGTGTTTTTCCCTTTCCTATTAGATTGACTATGTGGAATTTGAGCGGCATGCTGCTGGTGGTTCCAATATGCATTATTTTGACCTTCTTATTAGATTAAAATCTGAACAAGAGCATCTCTTCCGTAATATTCAGAGAAACGAGTACCACAATTTGTATGAATTTATCAGGTAACTGTTAGCCTAATGCCAAATTTTACACACAACTAACTGTTATATAAATAATTTGTTTTTTTTTCCTGCACATGCAGTTCGAAGGGCTTAAAAATTTTGAACTTGGGAGATGCCCAACCCACTGTTGGTATAAAGAAGGTTCTCGAGAATGATGATGATGATGCTGTTGATCCACATCTTGAGCGCATAAAAAATGAAGCTGGTGGAGATGAAAGTGATGAGGAGGTGATCAAACAGATATTTTTTTAATATATTTTTCATCCTTATCTTTCAGTTTGAGTAGCATTTAGTTAATAAGTGTTCTAGTTTTATAAATCAAGGAGACAAATTTATATATGTTGACCAACATCTGAAAATAGTTGGCCGTGAAAAAACTTGAGTGAACCTAAAGCTTAGGTTTCAGTTTATGTAATTATTGAATTCATGCAGTTGACCTTTCTTCTATTTTAAGTGTTTATTCATTTTGTCTGTTTTGCTTTCTATTGTGTTTGTGTGCATTTGTCATTTACTTATGTACACATTTTCAGTATGGACTCTATGCAACTTGGCACCATTTTGGTCATTGGTTGGGGGGGGGTTAAATGTGGCTGGATTTCATAGTGTTTGTTTCTGTATACATTAAATGGTGGTAAATGTCTACAGGAATCTGATTTTGTTGCTGACAAGAATGATGAAGGTTCTCCCACTAATGATTCTGGGGCAGACGATTCTGATGGCAGTGATAGTGGTGATGAGAAAGAGGCAAGTGATTTTTGTTTGCGTTTGTTTGTTATCTTTGTGATTCTTCTATATTCTTTAAATATATGGTGTCTGACAAGTTTAATATGGCCAATTTTCAGAAGCTTGCCAAAAAGGAATCAAAGAAGGACCTGCCTTCTAAGGCATCTACTTCTAAAAAGAAACCAAAAGATGATGAAGATGGAAAGAAGAAAAAACAAAAGAAGAAAAAGGACCCAAATGCACCGAAGAGGGCAATGTCTGGTTTCATGTTCTTTTCTAAATTGGAAAGAGAGGTGTGTTCTATTCTATATCATATAGATGGGCTGTATGGTTTTGGATGGGAGTATTTATCACATCTGCATAGCTCTGGGTTACAGTGGTAGTTTAAGTAGAATTGTATACTTCATTTTGTTTGCTCTACTGGATATTTTGGTGGAGAACATAGAAGTCTCAGGTTGGGTAAGGAAAAAAAAATCTTTACAATGCCGGGTAAAATAAATAATAATGAGATTATCCAACAAATTCTCTAATTAATGCAAGTGAAAGAGGCAACTAACTTTAGCATCGGAGTCTCTTTTGCAGGTACCACCCCCATCTTGGAGCATCAACGTACCAGTGAAGGAGGCTCACCGATCTTACCTGGCGGATCAGCTCTACAGCAGATTTCCGGTAAGAACATTTGGCGCCCACCGTGGGGCCGATCAAGACAGCTCTCATCGGCCACGCTTATGGTTTGCACCAGAAGCCATAGCAGACGCGCAATAGACGACGCAGATCATACAACTACCATGAATAGTGAAGCGGTAATGCGTACCGCTAATGAAGCCGACCTGGCAGCGCTACGCGCCGAGAATGAACGTATTCGCGCTAAACGACCTGCCACGCATCAGTCTCACGCGCCGACACACAAGGCGACCCATGAAGTCAGCAGCGCCCCCGCCCATGTCCCGGAGGATCAGGCAACCTTCCGCCGCCACCCTTTTGTGGATGGCATCGTGGAGACACCACTCCCTCATGGGTGGAAGCCTCTCCACCTCGATCGCTATGATGGCACGACGGAACACCCCGCTCTCCACGACCAAGTTCGAGGAAAAGAACAAGGACGAGACGGAGGTCAAAGTTCAGGAGCTCGCACAGACCAACCCTCTGGCTCTCAACCCAACCCCGGCGGAGCAGTACAAGCCGGGGTAAGCCAGGAAACAGGGCCAACTCCCCTACAGGGAGTGATCAATACAATCGCAGGTGGCTTCGTAGGAGGGGGCGCCAGCAGCTCGACCCGGAAGAAGCACCTGCGCAACATCAACCGCATACACTCTACCACCTCAGCTTCGCACCAGAGCTCACCGACGATTACTTTCACCGACGGCGGAGTCGATCTCAACCAAGATGATCCCATGGTTATAGCCTTAGCCAATTAGGAGGTTCACAAGACACTAATCGACCAAGGGAGCTCGACCGACATCCTGTATTGGCCAACGTTCCTCAGGTTAGATGTCCCCCACTCTCTCGTACAACCTCACACAGAGCCCTTAGTCGGTTTTGCAGGAAGGAGCGTTCTCACTCGGGGGCACATGGACCTACTAACAACTTTCGGAGCACCTCCGGATACAAGGCGGGTCATGGTTCGGTACCTCCTCATGGAAGCCGACAGTTCTTATAACATAATCATCGGGAGGCCGACCTTGAACCAACTCTGTGCAGTAGTGTTCACCCCACACCTCACCATGAAATTCCCAGGGCACGATGGGAAGATTATCTCCGTCAAGGCGAACCAGGAGACGACACGACAATGCTACACCGAAAGCCTGAAAATCGCCTCACTCGGTGAACAGCGCAAAAGCGACCCTCCCGCCGTGGCTCACGCCAGACACGAAGAAATCACCGATCTCGATCCAAGATCCGACTCTCATGACGAACGACCTAGCCCCGTTGACGAGCTCGATGATCTCTAGATCGAAAAACTCCCCGGGCAATGCACAAAAATCAGCAAATAGTTGACCCCAGAGTTGCGACAACAGCTCGAAGCGGAAATCCTAAAAAACGCTGACCTCTTTGCCTGGTCCAGCGCTGACATGCCAGGCATAGACGCCGATTTCATCTGCCACAGGCTAGCAATACACAAGGAGGCAAAACGGTCACCCAGAGGAAGAGGAAGGTCGGCGGCGAAAGGCGGGAGGCCATCATCACCGAAACGCAGAAACTGCTGAATGCTGGCTTCATCCGCGAGGTCAGGTACACCACATGGCTGGCGAACGTGGTCTTGGTAAAGAAGAACTCGGGGAAGTGGCGCATGTGCGTCGATTACACCGACTTGAACAAAGCATGCCCCAAGGACTCATACCCCTTGCCGAACATTGACAGGTTGGTCGACGGAGCCTCTGGGCACACCCTCCTCAGCTTCCTCGATGCCTACTTCAGGTACAACCAGATAATGATGTACCCACCTAACGAAGTGCACACGTCCTTCATTACCTACCACGCCAACTATTGCTACCGGGTGATGCCCTTCGGCCTCAAAAACGCGGACGCAACCTACCAGCGGCTGATGGATAAGGTCTTCCACCAACAGATCGGGAGGAACATGGAAGTCTACGTCGATGACATGGTAGTCAAGACCACCTCGGCGACAGACCACGCTGCCGACCTCGCCGAAGTATTCACCCAGGTCAGAAAGCCCAACATGCGCCTCAACCCGGAGAAATGTGTCTTCGGCGTCCAAGGAGGCAAATTCCTCGATTTCATGATCACCAGCAGAGGGATCGAGGCCAATCCCGAGAAGTGTAAAGCGATCATCCAGATGTAGAGCCCACAAACGGTGAAAGAGGTCCAACGCCTAGCTGGACGATTGGTCTCATTATCCCGCTTCATTCCCAAACTCGCGGAGAAGGCAGGACCCATTTTCACCCTACTGCGAAAGCCCAAAGACTTCCAGTGGATGGATCAGTGCGAATAAGCTTTCCGAAGCTTCAAAAACTTCCTCACAACCCCACCGATCCTACAGAGGCTGGACCACAAAACCGACCTCCTCCTTTACTTGGTCGTAGCAGAAAGCGCTATTAGCGCGATAATACTACAAGAGCACCAGAAAGTGCAGACACCAATCTACTTCATCAGCCGAGTCCTCCAAGATGCGGAGAAGCGATACCATATGATCGAGAAGCTGGCACTAGCACTTGTCACCGCAGCTCGGCGTCTCCGACCTTACTTCTAGAGTCACCAGGTGGTAGTCAAAACCGACTACCCTATCAAGCAAATTCTGCGAAAACCCAAGCTTACCGGACGTATCATTGCGTGGTCAGTGGAATTGTCTGAGTTCGGCATCCGGTACGAAAGTCGCGGACCCCTGAAAGCTCAATGCCTTGCCGACTTCGTAGCCGAACTCATGCCTACCACTACCGAGGAACCTCAGGTATGGACTTTACATGTTGACAGACCCTCCAACTCTAAAGGTGGTGGCGCAGGCATCATATTGGAAGGACCAAACCGAGTCACTCTGGAACAATCCCTCAAGTTTAGCTTCAAAGTGACCAACAACCAGGCAGAGTACGAGGCACTCCTCGCGGGACTAAGGCTAGCCCGTGACCTCGGAGCTCGAAAGGTGAGTTGCAACAGCGACTCAAAACTCATGGTGGAGCAACTCAGCGGGACGTACCAGGCAAAGGACACTCTGCTGCAGCGGTACTTTCACACTGCATCCCACCAGATCTCGTCCTTCGACGAATTCACCATAAAGCACGTGCCGCGAGAACAAAATGCCCGAGCTGACCTCCTATCAAAGCTTGTCAGCACCAAAAGGCCTGGACAGTACCAAACCATCATCCAGGAAACCTTGCACTCACCCAGCTTAGACGGTAAAGTCGTCAACATCAGTGACAATGAAGACCTGGGATGGATGACAGACATCTGGAGCTACCTGAAAGAAGGAACCCTACCTGAAGATAAGAACGAAGCTCGGAAGACAAGGATGAAATCGGCTAAGTTCATCATCATCGGAGATGAGCTATTCAAACGCGGCATTTCCACCCCGCTGCTCAAGTGCTTGACCGCACCCCCAAGCAGCCTACGTCATTGACGAAATTCATCGGGGTTTGGTGCTACTAATGATTTTTTGTGTGAGGATTTTCTAAGTTAATGAGGAATGAATTTGAAATAAGCATGATGAGTGAGCTTAAGTTCTTCTGGGTACTTTAAATCAAGCAGACAAATGAAAAAATCTTCATTCATCAATAAAAATGCACTATAGAACTTCTTTAGAAGTTTGGGATGAATGATTATAAGCTAATGCCAACACCCATACATCTATTTATAAGTCCGTCAAAAGAAGAATTAGGTAAACCAATATATTAGACGATCTATAGAGGTATGATTGGATCTTTAACATAATGTTTAACATCTGTCTTTGTTTTAGATTTCAATATGATCCTAAAGAGTCACATTTACAAGTTGTTAAATGAATATTTAGATATCTTGTAGGTTCTACTAACCCCTGTCTGTTTTATGAGAAAAATAATAAGTTTAGGCTAGAAGGA